GAGCGGCAGGCTTTGTGGAGAAGGGGGCACGGCTGTCCCAGAGACCCCGCAGCCAGGCCGAGGGAGAGCAGTTAACACAGACAGGGATGCGTGAGGGCGTGTGCGGGGACAGCCGGACACTCTGAAATGGGGACAACCTTATCACGCTTCTTGCGTTTCATGTCTTTTCTTCGTAGCTCCCTGTGTCCTTATGCAATGGCTGTGAATGTCAGCCCGCACCAGCTATGTAACCAAGGCTCACTGCGACAGGTCTGGGTGAGGGCAGGTAGGGAGCCCTGACGGGCACCGGGAGCGCCAGGACAGGGGCCTGGAGAGGCCCTTCCTCTCCCCCCTGGGCCTGGGCACGTTTCTCTGTGCGGAGTGGACCGATGGGTGTTCCGTCGGATGCTGATGGACGGCCTTATTTTTAAACTTTTCTTCAGCAGTGGCGTGCCTTTGAAAAGGCCTGCTCTGACCTAATATAGAACAAATACGGCTGTTCTAGTGGAGGAAAAGAGGGCCGCAGGCTCAGCCCCCCAGCCCCAGAGCCGCCCCTCAAACAGCCTCGGACTCGCCGTGAGACTACCTGACGCTGTCACCAAGTCTCTGCAGCGCGTACATGAGTGGCCTTCAGTGGCTCACACCGAAGGGCCCAGGGGGCACCGCAGGGGACCAAAGGCAGGGTGGCTGCAGGGCGCCCCCAACACTGCAGTCAGCCAGGCCTTCGGCAGGGACAGGAGACAGGTCATGGTTCGCAGGGCTGAGGTGACCAACGTCTTCACGGTGGCTGAGCTCTCCTGCCACTGGCTCCACGCTCAGCCTGGGTTTCCCTTTACCTCCCCTCTGGGCCCCCGGAAGGCCATTGACGCTAAGCTGCAGCCTGAAGGCCCACGTCCCTGAAGGGCTTGTGGGTCCACACTCCCACGGCCTCTCACGGCCTCCTTGCCCCAGCACCTGCCCGCTTTCCTCCCACACCCTCTCACACACCAGCCATACACGAATACTCACACACAGGCAGATGTACACAGACACACTCACACTCAGGCAGACATGCACACACACACACACACACACACAGAGCCACACGCGAATACTCAGATACACGCAGATACACACAGACACAGACACGCACTCAGTCACACTCAGGCAGACATACAGACAGACACACACACACACAGCCACACACGAATACTCAGATACATGCAGATACACACATACACAGACACGCACTCAGTCACACTCAGGCAGACATACAGACAGACACACACACACACAGCCACACACGAATACTCAGATACACGCAGATACACACATACACAGACACGCACACAGAGCTACACACGAATACTCGGATACAGACAGATACACACATACACAGACACGCACACACAGAGCCACACACGAATACTCAGATACACGCAGATACATGCATACACACACACAGACACACAGAGCCACACACAAATACTCAGATACATGCAGATACACACATACACAGACACACACACATACACAGAGCAACACGCAAATACTCGGATACACGCAGATACATACATACACAGACACACAGACACAGAGCCATACACGAATACTCGGATACACACAGATACATGCATACACACAGAGAGAGCCACACGTGAATACTCAGATACACACAGATACATGCATACACAGACACACACACAGACACAGAGCCACACACGAATACTCGGATACACGCAGATACATACATACACAGACACACAGACACAGAGCCACACACGAATACTCGGATACACGCAGATACATGCATACACACACAGAGCCACACGTGAATACTCAGACACACAGAGATACAGATACGCACACATAGTCATACTTAGACACACACGCTGGTGCACACAGTGTTATTAGGGGTGAGCGATCTGATGGCGTTTGCCTTAAGTCGTGCCTGGGGACGCAATCTGAAGCAGATCCCTGGAAAGGCCATCTGAGTTGGGAAGGAAGACTGTGGTGAGTTACAGGCATTTCTGGTGGGCCAGTAGCCGGGGAAAACGTGACGGCCCTCTCTGCCTAACCAAGCACCTGTCGTAAACGGCCCCTGCCACATGTCCCAGCTGGCTCCCCGCCCTTAAAAATCCAGTTGCTCCTGGCCCACAGCTTTGTCCCAACAAAGAACAATACGAATGAAGCGTGGCCTCGGGAGGTCAGAGGTCGGGCACGATCTGGCCGAGGTGGAGAGGACCCGCCTTGGTTACGAGCTGCGGTCTGAGTGGGGCCCGAGCGGCTGAGGGTGCAGAGGTGGCGTCTGGCTCAGAGGAAAGGGCTGCGGGCGATGAGTGGTGGCTGCGGGGCCACGGGCACAACCGCGCTGACGCGGAGGTCAGAGACCCGCCCTCCCTCCGGCCCACCGAGAGCAAGGACATGAGCGGGCTTACCAAAGTCACGGGCCGACCTTGGGGGGTGCCAGGCCTCTGCCCCGGAGGACCGTACAGCCCACGGAGGGGGCAGACCCAGTAACCAGGCGTGGCCCGGAAGCTCGGGGCAGACACGCACACGTGGACACAGACACACAGACATTGGACACACGGACACAGGCACATACGCAGGAGGCGGGGAAGGCACACGTGTGGGCTGGAGTTCAGAGGAGGAAGCCAGGAAGCAGGGTGGACTCGGACAGTCTGCGGGGCCGTGGCGTGCATGTACACGTGGCACATGCGTGTGGGACAGCCCACGGTAGGGAATGCGCGTGGGGGGCAGCAGTAAGATTGTGGTAATTTGGGTGGAGGACAGGACTGGGCAGCGCAGGGTTGTGACAGGGTCTGGAGGCAGGTGGCAGAACGCAGCAGGCTCTCGGGTTCTGCCTCCTGCTGTGCCGCTCCTGGGACCAGTTTACTCGTCTGGAAATGCAAGTATGAAGAAAGTCTCTTGGGACCAGCAGTTAACGTAATGGCTATGTCGCTGGACTCCCACGTCGTCGACCGCGGTTCAAATCCCAGACGTGGTTGCTTAAACTCATGTCAGGCGTGTGTGCGTGCGTGCCCAAGATCCCGAGAGAAGAATGGAGGAGAAGGGATTGCGGCGTGGCCATCCCCCCTGGGGGATGATTTCTCGCTCTGTCTCTCTGCCTCTCTCTGTCTTTCTGGTGAGTGCACGCGCCCTATAGCAAAAACCTTTCCAAAAAAAAAAAACAAGAAAGAAAGCCTTTTTCCTAGGACTGTGAGGGATCGGGCTCAGGGTAGAGGAGAAGGGCAAAGTGGCCTTCCAGAGAGGGCAGGTGGGGAGAAGGGGAGCTGCAGGGTTACGGGCAGGAGTGGGCGGACTTTCTTTACCTCCATCTTGGCCAGAAGCCACCCTGGAGGCTCTCCTCTAAGTTACCCACAGCTGAATTCCTAAGGGAGAGCTCACCTCCAGGGGAGCCAGCAGGCTCCATGCAGACAGGAGCCCTCGGGAACAGGCCAGGAGAGCAGGCCAGGCTGGGCGCCCTGCCTCCACACTGTAGAGCCGGGGTGCTGCCTCCTCCCCACCTTCTGGTGAATCTGGGGGACCCTGTCCTGTGTCCTCTGACTTGCAGCCTCTCCCCTCAACCCCGACTCTGAAAGGCAGTCCTGGGGAGAGTGGGAGACGGCCTTATCCACGCGGGGAGGTCAGAGTGCACCCATGTCTGGAAGGCAAGCCCATCAGGCCGCTGTGGCTCCCGGGACCTCCTAACGTCGGAGGTGTCTGGGCTCGGCCCTGTTTCCCATCTACCTGGCAGGGCTCATCCTTCCAGGCCGGGATAAGCCAGAGGCCACACAAACACATGGGCTGCCACAGGATCCACCTGAGGCTGGCATTCACAGCCCTGCACCGTGGGGCGAGCCTCCTGGCTGCGAAGCCTTAGCACCCTCATCTCGGAGGGCAGGAGCGGAGTTCCTGCGGCAGGGCTAGTGCTGCTGTGAGGAGGCTCCACGGCCGGACGTGGGAGTGCTCAGCTCACTCTCTGGGCAGGAGAGGCCTCGGGAAGGATAGCTGCCCCCACTGTTATCGGCCTGTCTCCAGGTGCCCAGGTGGAGAGAAACTGCAGCCAGCGCTCGCCTCCCGGCCCTGTCCCTCTGCTTCTGCTGGCCCTGCGTCAGGGTGCTGCACAGGTGGGGCTGACAGACCACCCCCTGCTTACCTCATTCAAGCTGGAAATGAGCCCCGAGGAGGAGCTGGAGAGCCCGAAGCGCTTCTCGATGGTGGTGAGGCTGCTCTTGAAGTAGGCGCTGTACAGGAGCTGGCAGAGCTGCAGCAGGCCATGGCAGAGCACGAACACCTGGGGGCAGACGGCCGGCTATGAGCCCCACAGCGAGCAGGGCCTCCCAGCCTCCCATGGACAGCGAGCCGGGTCCTCCCAGCCTCTCATGGACAGCGAGCCCGGGGCCTCTCAGCCTCCCACAGAGACCCGGACAGCAAGCTGGGGCCTCCCAGCCTCCCATAGACAGCGAGCCTGGGGCCTTCCAGCCTCCCACAGAGACTCAGACAGCGAGCCCGGGGCCTCCCAGCCTCCCACAGAGACCCGGACAGTGAACCGGGGCCTCCCAGACTCCCATGGACAGCGAGCCTGGGGCCTCCCAGCCTCCCACAGAGACCCGGACAGCGAGCCCAGGGCCTCCCAGCCTCCCACAGAGACTCAGACAGCGAGCCCAGGGCATCCCAGCCTCCCAGAGACACAGACAGCGAGCCCGGGGCCTCCCAGCCTCCCAGAGACACAGCGGTCTGGCCTCTGTCCCCTTATCGGTTGCACGGAAACACTTGCTTCTTAGGGTAGTCAGGCTGAAATGCCCCCACGGCTACCCTGTTTTTAGCCTGCAGGCAGCACCCAAAAGGCCTCAGCCATTCTTATCATCACTGCGTTCCTCTCGCTGTCACCCACAGTGGCCCATAAAAACAAGCAGTATTTATGTATGACAGGGACAAAGGCCCGGCTTGTCGGCCAAGCTTCCAGTGCACTTTGCCCCCTGACAGCACCGTGGATCTGCCCCCTGCGTCCTGTGAGGGCAGAGGCCATCTCTCTTTCATCCGGACACTCCCAGGGTCACAGCCAGCCTGGGGTCGCCCTGCCCCATGTCTCTTGACCTGCGAGGTCCTCCATTCCCGATGCTTGTCCTCTAAGACGCTCCGAGGCCTCCAAGCCCACTGTGGTTGTGCCCACATGGCGCCTGGCTCGATGGGTGTCCTCACACACGTCCTCACCACATTTGTTACTGCCCTTCTTTCCGGGGGTAGCTCTTATCAGGGGTCTCTGGGAAGGTGCTCGCTCCCAGCTGAGGGGGTGGCCTAGGCCTCTCAGGGAGTGGGGAGAGAAACTGGAGGGTATCCGTAGCCGGGCTCCGGGCTGGGTCCTGGGCTCTTCTATGTTCTCAGATGGGCCAGACCCAGGCAGGCCCAAGTGAGGAATCACATCCCCATTGCACACCTGGAAGGTGCCCTTGAGGTCACACTGTCCCTCCAGGCAAGGGTGGGGA